GGAAGAAAAAATTGCCAGGTAACAGACAAAATTTCACTTGTACTGAATAATTTGTTTTTCTTCGCGCTTGTCGCTAAATAGGACTGAGCTGTTCGCAGGTAGAGAAATCTGCATTTTTTTAATGCAAGCGAGTACTTCGGCAGTAATATCGGTCGGCTTCACGTTGACTTTTTATGTGTAACTGTTGCGCCTACTACAAATTCAGAAAATGCTGGTACATTTGCTTAGAAAGAAACAACACATAATATTTTGCACATGTTTTTTTGTTAAGTGGGATCTAGTGCAGATATGTGGGTCCATTCAGGCAGAATGAAGAAAGTGGTCTTCCCAGATTGAAGGACATTGAGAATTTCCACAAAAAGTTGCATAAAGAGACTAAAGAACAACGAATGGAAGCCATCAGAAGAGGTCGCGAAGGACGCCAAGACTACGGAAAGCCGAAAAAGCGGGTAACTGTTTATGATTTTAATATATTGAATTGAGGCACTGTAGTTTTCGTCGTTACCCATGCTGTGGGGTAACTGTCACCATATTTGGTTGTAGACTGATGCTCTTCGCATAGAAGGCGAAATAAAAGCAACCTTTTTGTAGTTTATGGTAGTTTTGAATCTCCCCTTCGGATAAAAAACAGCTGCCAATCCTACCGTCTGGCTTACAGCACTAATATTATTGGAAGTCTCCTCAGGTAGGGTATGAAATGCTGGATAGGCAGCTGAATAAAGATATTGGCTTTTGTACAGTGGAACTGTCAAAAAATATATCACTGGGGCCGCCATGTAACCCATGCGCCGACTATCTGAGCGTCACCAGTGCTTTGTACTGCTTTCTTGTGACGAAGAAACGTGCTGCTACTATTCCTTCAGAATGCATGTGGTTTTTTTTGGCTTACACGACACGAGGTACTAGCAGTGAATTAGGTGTGGAACTGTCAAAATACCCAACCTGGCATAAAAAAGAAGTCAGGCCGCTACGAAGCGCAGACTGTAACAATTGTCGGTACTTAAGCAGTGAATTAGGTGCCGACGATATGTTTCAGTCTAAGCTTCGTAGCAGCCTGATGTCTTTTGTATGTTAGGCAGGAGACTGACGCGCATTGTAGAGTGGGAGTGGAAATTGAAAATCTCCACGTATCCGATCTCTGTATGAGGCGGAAACACTCAGAAAGTAAATCGAGCGGTAGCAGGTGACAACGCCAAACACTCGCTGTCGAGGCTGTTGATGACTTCTTCTCTGGAGGGTTGCTTGCAAGGATTTGTCGGTATATGCCAATGCCCTTTTACAATCAAAACGAATGGAGAGTCGTAAAGGGATTGGTAGGCTGGAAGTACTAATATTATTTTTGGATTGTCTGCTGCTTAGCAGAGATCATTTTACAGAGCTTAAGTGATGCACAGTTAATACATTGCAGGGCGTCCACGTTGGTCACACGAATCGCGAAATGGCCAAATGGAAGAATTTTCAAATGGTGAGACCGAAGCCAAGAGGCAAGAATCGCATGAGGAGTTTTAAGGATCGTCAGAAGAGCTTGGGTAAATATCTGCTGCGTCAGGCGGGTGGAAAAGTCTAAAAATACAACGTCACTAAGATTTGTTATGTGTATTAGTGATGGAAGAGTTGATTTTAAGAATAATTTTTGAAATTTATAAAGTGGAAAAGGCGGCCTAGCGCTGCTGGGTTAAATCTCACGCACCACACGCTGCATATCTGTAAGGGGATGTTCAGATGAACTTTTCTGTTTCACCGATACCTGCATAACACGAAAACGTCAGATTAAAGGTAACACGCCATGGTCTGTACCTGGTAGCGGGTCACATTTACACATTCTAGGGAGGCTAGTTACTTGTATAGGATGTTGCCCGTTACTTGTATAAGACGCCCACCCTCTCGTGCTGTAGCGCCTCCGCCCTGCCCTTCAGCTCACGCTAGGCCCAACTCGGCTCGGCCCTATCCCTACACCTCATCCCTACCCCTCCTCCAGCTGTATCCCCCCTTCCCCGCCCCCGCTGCACCCGTACCCCCGCAACCCTTTCTTTCTGCCGGCTGAATCCGTAGTTTTCCCCCAATTTTATCCCTACTTCTCCCCCTTATCTTCCATATTGCATATTAATACAGCACTTAGTGAATGCTTTATTTAATAAAAAATCAATCTCCATCAAAAATATCACTTCAGAACGAACCGATATCATTTTTCAAACAAAGCACATTTTTTGCTGCTGTCACTTGTAGTTGTGAGATGGGGGTGGAAATGTAATCCTGAATTAGCATTACTAACCCAT